CCATGTGACATTCCCATTATCAGTAAAAAATAACACACATTCAAAAGCTTTCCAGTCCCAAATTCAGATGGACAGTTCTTCTTAGGAGGGTGAGGGAATTCTTTTACTTGTTTTACATTATTTCCACCTTGACTCATATTTCTGATTAAAAAAAAAAAAATTTTATAGGGGTCAGGGGACAGTGTAGCGGTACAGTGCCTGCCTGGCACGCACCACATTTGATGCCCAGCACTGCAAAAACAACAAAACAAACAAAAAAAAAACCTTTATAAATGGAAAGCCAGTTTTTCACCACATTCACAAAGGTCCACTAGATAAAGTAGTGCAATATATGTGTCACATTCCGATATTATCGGTAAACTTTTATAGTTATTCCCAGAAACACAACCATCATTTCTATTATCTTCCTGGGAAAATGCACATCAGTTTCCAAATAAACATAAGTATAGTGGTCATGAGCCCACAATGCATGTTTAATAAATGCTTATGAAGCTAATATATGCTGGAAACTGATTCTTGTATTTGTACACTGACAATGGATTTGCAAATTGAAAATTGCTAAATTTTGACTTTTGCGGTTGTGACATGTTTTGCTGATGTAAACTACATATCCAACACAGTCAGGCAAAAATGCAATTCAGTCCTTAAGAGATAAATTTCTGGTTTCATAGAAAAGCTGTTCTCCATTCCTGGAAGAGGTTGGCCTGGCAGGTGGTCACAATAACTCTCCTGGTGTTCTAAAAGAGTGTGTATCCATCGGTATCCAGGGAATACCGCAACAGCATCCTCCGAGTATGGAAGAGGATCCCCCGTGGACAAACAGCTGCTACACTCAGGGGTGGGAATTAGGTGAGTACCACCAATCCACTTTCCCTCACATTCCGTACCATTTGCATTCCTACAAAGGCAGCCTCAGCAACTTTGCTCACTACGTCCTGGTACCATCGCTAGGGGAACCAGCAGAAGGGAAGGAAGGGTGGAAGTGGCTGTGGATTGCGAATTTGAACTGTCCTACCACAGTGGAAGGGCTTCCCACAGGAGGAACGCAGACGCTCAGGGGTCCCATGCTGTCATGAATGACGGGGAGAAGGTCGCCTTCTTCTCCTGATTTCAGTGTATTCATCTCAGGCAGCCAAACAAAGTCTCTGCAGTTCTAAGGAATTACACTATTCTGTGAGTTGGGAACTCCACGACTAGGGGATTTTCCTGCTGTGCCAAAAATATTTTTAAAGTATTTATCATGAATGAAGGTACACACATGCTGATCGCTATTTTACTTTGAAAGTGGTTAATCTTATTCACAGACTCCTTATTTGCAGATGTGCCTAGTTGATACAATTTCTGTGCAACCCAAACATCAGTACTTGAAATGCTCTTGCAGTTGCTCATGTCATGCTCGGCGCAGCAGAAAGTTGAGCTGCTTGGCATCTCCAGCTGAGGCTGAACAAGGCCACCCCGGCTTTCTGTTTCACCTGAGTGGAAACAGGTGTCCTCAGGTGGCCTAGTAAGTGTCACATTCTTGCATATGTGTATTCCTGATAGTAACTTTACTGTTTAAGACGCCCTCTGCGTCTGGTACTGGAGGTCTGGGCTGCTGCTAGGCGGCAGGAGGCTGTGGTGTGCCTTACCAAGACAATATGGGTATCAGATGAACTTCACTAAGCTACGAGCTACAGCGCCTCGGTCGAGAGTTCACAGTTAAAGGACCAACAACACATACATTTAAGATGTATTTAAACTGAACCCAGGGAGCAAGGTAATATACTGACAGGTTGATAAAAATGTCAGAAACAGAAGGACTCAATCCCAAGTTTCCCTGGAAGTAAGGACTCAATATTCTCTAATCCAGTGTCCTTAGACACTGACTTCAGAACATAACTCCAGGCAACGTCAAGAACCGAATGCATCCATAAAACATCTCTTTCAAAGTGTCAGGTCACACACACACTACTTCTGACAGCATCTATCACAGGCGACTGGACCTAGCACTGGAAAAACAACGATTAACACAATGAAATCCCTAGTTCCTTTCAGAGTATGTGGGCTCCCTCTGATATGTTATTGAAACGTTCATGTCAAGTGGAGAAAAAAGACAGAGCAGCAAGTATAACAAAAGCAGGAAAGATCATAAGTCCCTGCTCTTACCCAAATCAAATAATCCAGAAATACTTTCCCACAGCACCACAGATCTAAAAACCTAGCTGAGCTTAAATGGCAAAGTCCTAGCTGAAAATATTTTGTTCATTTTTCAGAACTGATATTTATAAATGCAAAAAACATTTCTTGCATCCCAATTATATATCAGGTACTGGAGAAATAGCCGTCAACAAGATAGGTAAAGTCTCCGTCTTTCTGAAACTTAGTCTGGAAATAGGTAGAGAAAACATATCAGATGATACATAAATGCTGTTAAAGAAAAGTAGCAAAGTAAACATCTAGGAAGGATGAACAGACAAGAGGGATGAGAGAAGGCTTAGTTCCCAACACAAATGACTGGAAGAAACCTGTGTGAAGGAGTGAGCCAGGCAGATAACTGGCTGGGAACACCCAGGCAGCAGGGACAGTGTGAACAGGCCTTGAGGCAAAAATGTGCTTGGCAAGCAAGTTAACTAAAAAGCAGTAGAAGCTGGGCATGATGCTGCACACTTGCAATCCCAGCTCTCGGGAGGCAGAGGCAGGAGGATCACTGTGAGCTCAAGGCCAGCCTGAACTACACAGTGAGACTATGCCTCAAGAAACCAACCAACAAATAACAACACAAACAAACAAAAGAAAAAAGAGCAGCAGGCCGAGAGGACTGCTCAAGGGACTGAGAGGCGGGAACAACATCAGAGAAGTAACAGGGCCACAGGTAGAACTTCTTGAAGAGCACTGGCGAAACTTCGGCTTTTATTCTTTCATCTGAAAAGGACAAGAGCATAGCAGCCTCAAATTTCAGGGGCGAAGGGAGCAATAACGAGATGTGCCAGATGTCAGATTTTTTTTCTAATCTTTTAAATAACTATATTTATAGGGGAGGAGGAATCACAGATGAGGCAAAAGTTTCAGGCCAGAAGAACTAAAAGAACTGAGAGCGGAGATACAGGAAGGAGCAAGCTGTCTCCAAACAGGCTTCCTCACTGGAGATGTCTACTAAGCGTCTGCTAGAGGCCTAAGAGGCTCTGCGGTCTGGGGAGCGAACTGGCCATGCGCGTCTGTGATACGGGTCAACACCGGAGAGGCACACTGGATGGGCGGCCAGGGCTGCAGGATGGAAATCAGTCACGACTCCACACCCAGGCTGCACTTCTCACCGAAAGAGAAGTAACTGGGCGTTTCAGAAGTGGAGGACAGCAGAGGGGTCTGGGGACAAGAGTCATCAGAGGGGAAGAGACAGAGAGTGGCATCAAGGAAACAGCTGAAGACGGCACTTCCAGGAGAAAGTTTTCTGTAAAACTCTCCAAAGGTTCATGACGAGAAAAAATTAAAATGATTATTCTCCACTAAAAAAGACTAATGAACATTACAACTAAAGGCAATTAATACAACTTGGGGTGGGTCTGAGTTCAAATAAATGAGCCAGAAGAACCTATTGGCACAATTAGGGAATTTTAAAACACAATGTCTAAGCACCTATATAATTACTGTTTATTTTTTAGGTGTGGCAATGGCATTTTTGCTACACAGGAAAATACTTCAATTCTTAGGAGATATATGTTAATGCACTTGGGTTATGAGCTCGACAGCGCAATCTGCAATGTTTCCAACGGCTGAGTGAAGAAACATGGTAGAATGTTACCGACTCTGGAGAAGAAGACGAAGTTCACCTACTATTCTTTGAACTTTTTTGGAAGTTTAAAACTTTCATAATAAAAAAAGTGAAAGAGAAGTAACCCAATGGAAAAATAAACAAAACACACACAAAGACATTTCAGAGAAGAGAAAATTACAAACACTGAGAAACTAAGGATACTCATCACATATCTGTATTCAGGAAAATGCACATAAAACCACAGGGGGCATTTCCCATCTCCTGGAGCAGTCAAAACTAAGAAGTACAGAGACAACGCTCCAGTGCCAGTGACCATGAGGAACAATGGGCCTCTCATACGCTGCTGGCCGAAGACTTAATCGTCTCCACCACCGCTCTTCCTCTGCTGGGAAGTCCTGGCCTGTGTATATACCTCAGAAGAAAAATTCTTCCACGGATGCACCAAGAAAAAGGTCCAAGAATACTGATACAACATTATCTGTGATGGTAGAACAGTAGGGAAGAGTGCTGACTGTACGAGTATTCAATGAACACTTAGGATCACTGTTACGACTTTTCTTTACAATATGCACACACAGAGATGCATGCACCTTTGTATGTTTGACATATTGTACACTAAAGTTAAACAAAAATGTTATCAGTTGCAGCAGATGCTGCGATAGACTAAACACTGCTATGTGGCTTTGGTAGTGAAGAGTCCTGGCAGATAAAGTCAAATCGAATTATCTACCAGCAAACTCTTCTAGAATAGAAATGACCCTTTTGTATTTTATATTGTTTTAGGAAAAGGATATAGAAAAGCAAATCTATTAATTTGAAATAATGAAATGTAAGCTTTCATATCCAGCTGGTTCTACATAATTTTCTGGGAAAAGAAATTTTAAAAGGTAAGGCAGGGTTAATTTTAAAAACTCTCTACTCAAAGGTGTGGCATCATGGAAAAGACGGGCTCCAGGGAATTCACAGTGCAAACTGGGGCGCTCAAGACAGTGAAGAGGAGCCTCTGCTGATTCTGTTAGGTAATGGCATACACGGAAACTGGCCCGCATGGTTTTTCGTGAACAAGCCAAATGCAGCTCCAGTGCCTTTCCAAGTGCTCAGAAGGAATGGAACGAGGAATCTTCAGAACAAGGGGTCCTTCACCCAGCGCAGTCCGGTTCCATCAGGTTATACTTGGGCACGAGAACACCTGCGCAGTCAGGGCAGGTCTGGTGACACTCACTGCGGTGTGAGCGACAGGGATACTCACTTATTTGGTGGTACACAGGTTTGTGCAGCCCTTGAAGCTTTACTGATGCCATAGCAGCCAGCTTGCCGGGGGGCTGCATTCTCCCGTCTAAGAGATACCACATTCGGGCAAAAGTGGCCCATTGCTTGAGCAAAAGAAAAAAATGAAGAGAACTCTAATTAAAATGGAAGGAATTGGATTATTGCTGCTTGCTCTCATGCATTTTATAGGTACTGTCAACAATTACTTTGAAACATGACTATGTAACATATAAAACCACCATTAAGTCAACAACTTTTCTACACACCAATAATGAATTAGCTAAGAAACGAAAAAAATTCTCTTCACAGTAACTTAAAAAAATAAAAATGAAAGAGGTCTACAATGACACCAAAGAAACTGAAGACACTACAAGACAGAAAAGATTGTTCTATGAATAATCAAATGTTCGTGGATTGGCAGAATTAATCTTATTAAAAAGGTCGTGCTACCTACAGATTTAACACACTCACCATCAAAATACCAACATTCTTCACAGAATGAGAAAAAGCAATCCTGAAATTTACATGGAAACACAAAAAACCCAGAATAGCCCAAAACAATCCTGTTAAAACAGCATGGCTGTAGACCTCACGATACCTGATCTGAAACTATACTATAAGCCACAGTAGGAAACACAGTATGGGATCAGAACAGAAACTGACACACAGACCAATAACAGAACAGAGGCCACACACACAAATCCATACAACTCCAGCCATCTGATTCTGGACAAAGGAACCATAAATACATACTAGAGAAGACAACCACTTCAACAGAGTGTTGAGAAAATGGATATCCACGCGAAGACTGAAAGTAGATCCCTATCTCTTACCCCCTACAAAAAATCAATTAAAAATGGACCACAGACCTATGATCTGAAACTTTGAAACTGATAAAACCAACCAACAAACAAAAAACCAGGGGAAACACTTGAAACCATAGACATGTGCAAAGACTTCCTGAATAGGACTCCAGTAGTCTAAGAAATAGTAGCAAGAATCAACAAACCGGACTATATCAAATAAAGCTTCTCATAGTAAGGGAAACAATGAACAGAATGAGAAAAACCGCAGAATGGAAGAAAATTTGCCAGCTACTATTCTGACAGAAGATTAATATCTGGTATGAGTACTCAAAAAATGAAAAAATTAAACAGCCCAATCAATAGATGGGCAAATGAACTGAAAAGACACTTCTAAAAAGTACAACTGGCCACTTAATATATAAAAAATGTTCAACACGTTTAGCCACTAGGGAAATGAAAATCAAAACCACACTGAGATTCCATCTCACCCCAGTCATATGAAAAATATAAAATAAGAATAAATGCTGGCGAGGTTGCACGGGTGAGGGTAGGGGGAAGAACTCTTCTATGCTGTTGGTGGAAATGTAAATTGGTACAGCCTATATGGAACGTAGAATGGGGGTTCCCCCAAAACCTAAAAACCGAGCTGCCATTTGATCCAGCTCTACTCCTCCTTGGAACACACTTAAGGAACTGAAGTTACAGACGACAGGGAGGCCAGCACACCTGCTTACTGTGGCACGATTCTCAAAAGCCAAGATATGTAACCAGCCTAAGCGCCTATCAGCAGATGAGTGGAAGAAGACTCGTGGTGTATAGACGCACTAGTGTTACTCAGCTGTCAAAAAGAGCAGTTTGGTCATCTACAGGAAAATGCATGGAACTGGAGATCACCGTGAGCCACTCAGAAAGACAAGTATCGCATGTTGTCCCTAATATAGGGGGTCAAAAAAGATGACAAGAAAGTAGAAGAGAGACCATGATTAGACAACAGGAAGGGAATAAGGGAAAGATGAGGGTGTAAGAGGTATAAAAAGGGGATGTGTATGATCAAAATATACACTTTGAAACTCAGTATTTTATACAGTTAATAGGGACTAAGAAAAGGAAAACATGATTCACACTAGGTCACATGATAAGAGGAAGGAATGGTGGGGGCGACAGAGGGTGAAAATGACTAAAGTATGTTATATACATGTACAAATACGACAAAATGTAACCTGCTACTCGCTGCAGCTAAGATGCACTAATACTTTTCTCTTCTTAAAAATTAATTAATTAATTTTTTCCTCACTGAGTTTATTGGTACATTCTAGGTATACAGTACAGTTACATTCATTATTGGGATCTTGTACCTTTACATGACAGGTATTGGTTCTCATTTTCTCCTTTATCCCTGCCCTCCCTTCACCCCCTCCTAATTCTTTCCTTAATAGAAAACAGAAAAGAAAAGAAAAGAAAAAGGCTATCACTACAAGTGTTTGCTTTTGTTTCTACATCTAGAAAAAGGAAATCGCTCTTAGTTATTCTCACTGAGTAGGCCTATCATACGGAAAGTGGAGTGTCACACTGGAGACCATTCAGGAATTCAATTCCAGAGAGTTATAGTTGGGAAAGTATGGCTGAAAGTGAGCTATTTTAAGTTTTAAAGATTTGCCTCAGACCTCTAGGTTGCCTCTGATAGAGATCACTGTTTTTGCGGAACTCACCAGTGTCTAAGAAAATTCCGTATACAAAAGGTTAGACAATGCTAGAAAACTAGACTCCTAGTCTATGCGTTTGCAGAAGTGGGATTGAACTCAGAACCTTCCCATTGAGCTGCATCCCCAGCCCACTGTAAAGTTTATTTTGAGGCAGCGTCTTGCCTGGGTTGGGCGTGAATATGATCCTCCTGCCTCAGCTTCCCGGAGCCCTGGGATTATAGGCATGCACCACCGCCCTGGGCCTAGGTTTTATTTTCAATTTCATTACCATAAACTTCAAACTGGCCTATGCAGAAGCAAGGGTTCAGTTTCCTCCCATCCACTGGAGACTAAATAGTTCGACCATTTTAAAGAAAAAGCACTTTGATTTTTTTTTTTAAAAGTACAAATGTCAAACTACTGTAAACATTTCAAAATGTTTACTTTCACTTCCTGCATCTACCTCATCACAGTCAGGTAACAAACCCTCCGAGGAAACGGCCACCCTTGAAGGAGCGCTGGATTGTCACCCCGCAACCTACTCAAGCCTCGCCGTGTCGCCCCGAAACCAAGCCCTCCAAGCAGGCTCTCCAGCGCTCCTGACTCGATCCTAACGACCTCCCTGACCCTCTCTCCTATTTCCTCCCGGGGGAAAAAAAGGACATAAAAAGCGCTGAGTGGAAAGAGAGAGGGACGAGGACAAAACAGGCGGCCAGAGCCTGGAGCCTCCTGCCTGTGCCTTCCCAAGGGCATCTCCCGGAAGCCGCTTCCGGCTTCTCCCTCCTGATGCATCTCCGTTACTAAATCCGCCGGACCACTGCTCTTGCTGCCAGTCTGAGCGCCAGCGTCAAGCCGCAGCAGCCCGGGCTCACCTGGGAAGCCCTGGAGAAGCTCGACATGCTTCCCCGCCCTCAGGTCCTTCAGGTCCCGGAAGCCAAGCCGGGCCGTCAACGGGACTCGCTCGGCGGGAAACGCACATACCCAAGCTCGATGGTTCCTAGTCCCTCCAGCTGTCGTCCGCTTCTTCTCCTTCCCTGGGTTCCTTTCAGTCTTCCTATGGCAACAGTTTTATCCAGAAAGGAGGAAATAATCGTATTATGAAGAGAATCATGTCGGAGAATAATTTCCTAAAGTTCCTGGAAACCTTCATAAAACAGATGGTGGACACAATTTTCAGACGCACTAAGCGGAAGGAAATCGGAAGTGAGTCGAAAGCGCGGCTGTTTTGAGCCTAAAGTAGGTTTCAGCTGGGAGATGGATCGGTACTTGCTGCTGGTGACCTGGGGTGAAGGAAAGTTTCCATCGACGGCCAGTGAGGAGGTAGAGCATGGGCCAGAGGTGTCGTCGATTGACGGTGCTGAGAAACAACCTGGTGAGCGCGGGGTTTAGAAAGGGCGGGAACGGGTGGCCGGGAGGTTCATTTGTGTGGAAATGTCCCCAGAAGCTGTGACTGTCCGGGATAGATCTAATGAGAGCTGAAAACACACCACCTTCGTGAGAAGGTCGGTACAAACCTGTATGCAAGATCCACACCCCAAAATTCAGGGCAGAGTAAAAATGTAACTGCTTGAACCCCCCATGCCTTAGTCTTGGAGTTTTGTGCTCGGGAAAGTATGCTTCCAGTAAATGTTTACGCCTCCGTTGTTCCACCTGCAGGTGGTACAGAAAGCAACAAGACAGATAAGGCTCTTGCTGAACCAGAGCCCATAGTCTAATGGGAGGTGACATCTCACGCGTAATCTAAGTTTAAAAAGCAAATGATGTTTATAGGATTTTAACAGATCGTGTTGCCTTTTAGTGCTCCTGTGGAGACTGTATTGCGTTGTACCTGTTTTCATCAAGCAGATCTTTTGAGGAGGAAATAGATGTGATTGTGTAAAAGTTGTCATTACAGTTGACATGACAGTTGTCATGATAACTGAGGGAATTTTTGATTTGTGCTAATTGGCATGCAGAAACCAAGAAATTTTCCTATAGTCTCTGCTTGCTTTGTTTACCATATCAAAACTTGAATAGATCTTGATCAGCGTATATGTAGTTATTTTCTGTACACCATACCAGTCTCCAGAGTCTATGATGGTGAAGTTGGAATGGGTCTATGTTATGTAACTTTGGGGCCCATTGAGTCAGACTATATTTGCTTTTCAGACTTAACAGCAGCAAATGTTTATCGCCTCCTAAAAAGAAGTATTAGCGCTTCAGTCAACCCAGATAACAGTACTTTCCCTGGTAAGTATAACACAACCCCTCATTTCTCTGGAGCAGAATTTGGGAATGAGTTTAATTAACATGATCATTGAGAAGCACAAGAAATACTGTTGATTTTGCAAAAGGAACTGGAATACAGAGATGACTTAAGAGTCTACAAAACTGCGAAAGACATTACTTTCTCTTCTTGATAAATCATACATGTCATAAAGTTGTTAGGAAGATTACTCTAGTTTCCCAACTTGGATTTTACTCCCTTTATAAAATGTTCTTACCCATCTTTAGATATATAAAATATAAGGTAATGTGGCCTCATAAGAAAGATTTTATCCTGGTTAAAACTACATTATTAATGCCCCCAAATGACTTTTTAACATTTCTTTTTCTGTCTTTACTTTAGAATGTAGGGTCTAGCTAGAGATGGATGGTAGAGTCATTGAGCTGTAGATGTCACTTGAAGCCATGAGAAAGAAGAGATTGCTTATCAATACTGGGATCAACAGAAAATCTAAAACAATCTCAATATTTAAAGGAGCTAACACCTGTTTTTAAAAGACTGAGAAGGAGCATTCGGAGACATAGCCACATGATGCACAGATTTTAAGGAAAAAGCAGTTAAATGGGTCATCTTTGATTCTTTTGTTTTACTCTTCTGCTGAGAGGTCAAGTGACAACAAAACTAAAAATGCTTAGATTTAGTAAACTCAGTTATTGGTGACCATGGTGAGTGTAGTTTCAATAGCATTTTGGACATCAAACAAAACACAACAAAAAACCACCTTGAAATGTATCTGGAGGAGAGTAGGAAAGTTGATAAGCTAATGCAGAAAGTCAAGTAGAGGCGGAAGATTTCTCCATTAAGACAAAGTTATAGTAGTCACTGAAAAAGCAAAGTAAATTTAAAAGGACCTTATTTGAAAAAAAAACACATTAATTTGAGAAATAATTGCACTTAAATGCTAGTGAGAGGATTGAAATGGGTTGAAATAAGCGGGGCCAGGCTCTCAGGCGATTGAGGTCAGTGCCTCTTGTGTATTTAGGGGAGAAATGATCAGAGACCAAATGGCGCACAGATGGAGTTGCATGTTTCCTGAAAGGTGTGATGCTACTGGCTTCTGTTTTTCCTATGGAAACAGGAGGTGAAGTCTCCTGCTGAGATTATGGGAGCCTGGTGGTGATAGGCACTTAGCATCTTACCCAGCTTCCATGATTAAACCTCACCAGATTTCCCCTCCCTTGTTTGAGTCTGGTTTCTGTAACCAGCTCTGAATCCTTCATGTTCCTCTGGTAGGTGTCCTTGGGGGCGGCTTTAATGTCATGTCTGCCTTGCATTTTCCAGGCAGAGCATCTTTCTGTAGCCAGGCTGAGCCAAGCTGCATGGTCTTCGGGAAGAGATGTTTTCCCTGATAACTTTATGGTTTTGGGTTCCTCACTGGTAATAGAGTAGGTGTATTTTTCAGTATCTTTATAGTTGATTTGCATGTGTTTAAAATGATGATTTAAATAATATGGATTTTGTGCTGCAACGAACTAATGCAAAGTGTTTTGTAATTTTGCTCTTGAAACATTGTTCTGCTTGAAATTTTAGCAGACACTGTAGATTGACTGATCTTGGAGAACTGTAGAATGTTTACAAATCCCATCACTTTTTAAGTATGTGTATTGTGCCATCAGTATATGTGCTGTAATAAGTGTGACTTTGTTTTTAAGCCTGTTCAGTGGGCGGCATTCCTGACTCCAAGAAGTGGTTTTTTGCGGTGCAGGCCTTGTGTGGCTTTTACCAGGTAATTGCTACTGGCCAATGCCTTTGCTTCCACAGTGAATTCTGTGCATCTGTTGTTTTAATGCAGTCTTTCGGTTTATAGTTTTGTAGCTCTGATTGGCAAGAGATACATTTTGATGCAGAAAGAGATAAGATTGAAGATGTTCTTCAAGCAAATATTGAAGAGTGCGTGAGTGCCCTTGGGTGCTTGGCAGAAGAAGACAGCAGCAGCAGGGAGTCCCTGTCCTTGGCCGAGTACGCACGTATCCTTTTCACACCATTTTCCACGTGTTTAGCTTCTGAGAATTCTGTTCAGCCAGGAAAGTGAAGTTCTCATGTTTTAGCAACTTTAGTAAGGGAATTTTATTAACTGAAAATTTTAACGCTTCATTTTGGAAGAAATTAGGCAATTTGGGTCTGTCATCTGAGTTCCTGATGCTTTTTGTTTGTCCTTCTGGGACTGAGGATTGAACTCGGGACCTTGTCCTTTCGAGGCAGGCGATGCTCCACTGATCTAAATCCTCATCGAGGTCTTTCATCTGAATAGAGTTCTTTAAAAGGAACAGATACCTGAAAGTGTTTTCTGTCTTCAGTTTACATTATGAGAATTGTAAGATGGTATTTTAATTGATACGCCACTTACTTGAAGGTAAATTTTGACTGATAGTGTATTTTAAAGCGTAAGCAGAAATGTTATTAAGTTAATAGCATTCAAACAGAAGTGTTATTTTCCTATGAGGCTGAAAGTCTGATTTTTGTAATTGTGTGGTGCTCCAGCCTTTCATACACTTTTCAGGATGCACACATAACTTGAGGCTGGAGGGTGGAGCTCACCATTTTGAACTGCAGCACAGGGATAACCCAGGGGACAACTTGTGCTTGTTTTCTCTTTCTAAGACACCCCATCTCCAACTCATGGCTCATACCTCTCTTTTTCTCCATCCTCATGACCCATGACAGGACTGCTTTTGTTTTATTTTACATTTCTGCAGCGCATCTGTAGCTTGCACAGGCTTTAAACATTCCCATTGCCGGTTTCCAGACTGTCATTTGTACCGTTCACAGGAAGGCATCATCAGGCCGGGAAAGCAGCAGTCCGTAGAGTGACTTCAGGCCAGCCACATGACTCTGGGCCTCTCTCCTGTTGCCCAAGCAGTTTTGAGGTTCTTTTAGATGTTTCCTAACATGTCCTTCATCTCAAATCCTACAAATCCATGTTTCTCCACCACATCAAAAGATGACAGGCCAAGCTGGGGTTTAGCTCAGTGGTTCCACTGCCTGCCTTGCAAGCACAAGGACCCGTGTTCAATCCCCGGAACCAAAAAAAAAAAAAAAAAAAAAAAAAAAAGATGATAAGTATAAAACTTCTGGTAAGTGACTGACTTAGTAATAATCTCCACAAGGGGGAGCCTGAAAACTGTACTTTACACACAATGCCTTCTTTATTTTTTTTTTAAACAATATCAGTTTATAGTAAAGGATTTAATTATCACAGGGATAAACATCTTCGTTGGGTTTTAAAGCATCTGAAGAGGACATTGTACTCTCCCATCAAGACTTAAATGTAAATTAAAGAAAACCAGTATGCTTTCTTTATTAAACACTTACTTAGCAAAAGCTGACTTTGAAGGATCAGAAAACGTTTGGTCTGTTCATCGCATCTGTTTGTGGCAACCGGCTGCAGGCAGGTTTGATCCTAGCCTCTGCCCATTCTAGTCCGTGCTTCAGTGGCGACAGCAGCGCAGTCGTGGGGTGGATGCAGCCATGCGCCTGCTGCGCTGACTCACAGGCCACCCTCACCTGCTGTGACCGCCCCTTAGGCACACATGGGTTGTTCCTCTTCTCTTTCAGGCTGTATGAAGAATCTGCTGAAAATCTGCATCAGTTATCAGACAAACTTCCTGCTCCTGGTAATATTTTGACTATTTTTGATAATTTGTGCCTTTTTCGTATACTTTTTTTTTTAATGACTGATGAATTTAGTCTTTGTGCTAATATTCTTACTTCTCATCTTGAAATTCAAGATGAAAACTATGTACCAGTTCCCCAAGATGATTATAATTATAATGCTTCACATCTGTATATTAATAAAAATGATTTAATTGAAGTTTATATCAAATGTACTGTACTATGAAGTATGTTACTAAGAAATTACAGTGCTTTTCTTTTCTTTTTTTTATTTACAGAATACTTTATTAGTTTCTGTAATCAAACCCACGTAGATATGACCTTACATATTTAATACAGTGCATTACCCCTGTACAAATGGAAAAAAAAATTAACATTTCTAGACCAATATGGCTGTCCATTTCTGTACAATGCCAACTCAACACAGTAAATTGGGATAACTTTTTCCAAAGTTGACAGCACAGTTAAAGTTTCCAAAATATTTATATTTATATAAAAAGACCAATAATAGCAGTATGTTATGCATCAATAGCAGCAACAGCTTTCCAGGTTCTGCAGTCATCTGAACAAAATTATAGACATTCAACACACTCCATTAAAAAGACAAAAACAAAAAAACAAAGAAAAGAATAATACCCAGAAAACAGCAAACTTCTGTTGCTGTTGTCGAACCTGGCACCATTTTTTTTAGCATCTTAATCATCATCTGGAAAGAGAACATTCTAGAGTAATATCATTAAAAATAGCTCTGATAAAGCACGGTCCCTACTACATATCATAAAGCAGGTACAAGGTATTTTACATTCAAAGAGGTATGATATAGTATCGTCCTACATCTATAATACTAGAATCAGTTTTGGTTTGAAATTTACTTTGTCTGCAAATAAGATTGCTACCCTTGCTTTTTTCTGGGCACCTGTCACATGGAGATTTGTTTTCCATCCTTTCACTTTCAGTCTATGGGCTTCTTTTTACAGTGCTTTTATTTTCTAAACAAAATTGGTTTCTTATTTTCTAAGCAAAATTCAGAATTTAGAAAATTAAATATTCATGTTATTTAATTATTACTGAAAAGCAATCATACCACTAACATTTTTTTTCAGAATATTTTCTATATATAGAACACTAATCCTATAAACCACTCTTGGGAAAGCAGCTTTTGTAAACTGGATCATTCGGATCATGTTCTTTCCTGGAAAAGCTGATGGACGCATTGTCAAGTGGAATGTTGAGAGAAGCTCTTTGCTCAGCACTTTTTTGTAGCACCATTTTTTTTCCTAAAATGCAAAGCATATTTTGTGAAATACTGTATCGTGGTATTCTTAACACTGTTTTTGTCGTAAGCTAACCTTCCTTTGTGTTAACCAAGTCAGTGTCCCCTAAAGTTTGGAGTGGCTTGGCCCTCAGACCCTCCTGAAGGGCTTCCTTTTCTGACCATCCTCATGAGAGAAGGTCACTTACTAAGCAGGTCTTAGTCGTGCCTGATGCGTGGCCGTGCAGTACTAGGAGCTGGGTGTCAGTGACCAGTGAGGCGAGGGTGCCCACCCCAGACTCTGCCAGTCACAGCATTGTCCAGGCCTGGTACTCAAGAAGGTCATGTTTTAGTGCAAAAAGTCCCACCCAGAAGTAACTGGATGTATCAATAGGTAAACATATAGATCAGCGATGGCAAACCTTTGAGCAACGAGTGCCCGAACTGCAGCCCCAAACCTACTTCTTTATCACAAAGCACCAGCGCTGCAGTTAAACCTGAACATTGAGGTCTTAGTTTAGAAAAAACAACTCCTTAACATCTTTTGCCTTAAAACAAAAACAGATAACACCATGCCATAGGTTCGCCACCACCAATGTAAATTCTTCTTGCTGGTGCTGGTGATTGAACCCAGGCCCTGTGCATGCCAATCCTGCGCTCTTCTGAGCTACACCAACAGCCCTGCGTTTCATAAATGAAGTGTGTCAGGTTGGAAATAGGCATCAAAGTATTATACAGTTGCTATTTTGGAAAATTAAAGGACTTTAATTATCACATTTTTACTTGGCTTCTCTTTCGTTTTGATTTTTCTAGTCCTTTGGTAAATTTATAATTTCAGGAAAATTAAACTGATGCCAAGTCAGTCTTATTTCTCAGAATCCAATGATGTTGTCAGTATTAGCGGTTTTGCTGAGTGTTTTGCTGTCCGTTAAAGAGAAATAATTTACTTGAGCATGGCAATTTTATACTAATTCATCCCTTTTTGGATAACAGAATTAAGTGTAGAGAAATAAAATGCAATTGCAAAGATTTTTTTTTCCTCTGCTGAGAATAACAATAGCATTGATTATCTGCAGACCAGCATGTATAATTAACCATGGCTGCCGAAGCAGCTAATTATGATAAACTTCATTGTTTTCTAGCGTGTGCCAACTATTCCAGATAACATGGCTTTAAATTAAAAAACGAACATTTAGACTTTAAAAAGCTGTTTGCAGAATTAATGACAGAAAACTTCCCAAACAGAGGGGAAGAATTTGACATTCAGATAACTGAGGCATATAGGACCCCAACTAGCTACAATCAAAAAAAAAAAAAACCTACACCTAGACATATAATAATCAAGATCCCAGAAACCCAACAGAAGAACAAAATACTACAAGCAGTAAGAGAAAAGAAACAAATCACATACAAAGGAAAGCCCATCAGAATCACAGCAGACTTTTCAATACAAACCCTTGGGGCAAGGAGAGCCTGGAATGAGATATTTCAAGTACTAAAAGAGAACAACCTCCAACCTAGACTGATGTATCCAGCAAAAGTCTCTTTCAAAATGGATGGGGAAATAAGACACTTCCACGACAAAGAACACCTGAGAAACTACATGAATACCAAACCAGCACTACAAGGAATTCTAAACAAGATCCTAGAAAAAGACAATGAAGGCAACAACACCATGAGGCCCAACAGAGCAAATCAAATAGGCAAGGCAAGAAATTAAAAGGAGAAGGTGAAAAAGTAAAAAGAGTCGACAAAAGGCCAATAACATGTCAATAATAAGTCAGTACATATCAGTTATAAGCAGCAATGTCAATGGCCTCAACTCACCAATCAAGAGAAATAGACTGGCAAAATGGAATAAGAAGCAAAGTCCAACAATATGTTGTATACAAGAAACACACCTAGTGCAAAAAGAAGCCCATAGACTGAAACTGAAACGATAGAAAACAATTCTCCATGTGACAGGAGCCCAGAAAAAAACAGGGGTAGCAATCTTATTTGCAGACAAAGTAAATTTCAAACCAAAACTGAATCTAGTATTATTGATGTAGGACAGTACTGTATCATACCTCTGTGAATGTAAAATATCTAGTACCTGCTTTATGATACATAGTAGGGACTATGCTTTATCAGAGCTATATTTAATGATATTACTCTAGAATGTTCCCTTTCCAGATGATGATTAAGAGGCTAATAGAAAAAATGATGCCAGGTACTACAACAGCAACAGAAGTTTGCTGTTTTCTGGATATTATTCTTTTCTTTTTTCTTTTTTTTTTTTTTTAATGAAATGTGCTGAATGTTTATAACTTTGTTCAGATGACTGCAGAACCTGGAAAAGCTGTTGCTGCTATCAATGCGTAACATGCTATTATTAGTCTTTTTATATAAATATGTATATATGCATATATATATAAATTGAATTTTGGGAAACTTTAATGGTGCTGCCAACTTTGGAAAAATCATCCCAATTTACTGTGTTGAGTTGGCATTGTACAGAAATGGACAACCATATTGGTCTAGAAATGTTAATTTATTTTTATTTTCCATGTGTACAGGGGTAACACATCGTACTAAATATGTAAGGTCATATCTACGTGGGTTTGATTACAGAAACTAATAAAGTATTCTCTAAATAATGAAAAAAAGAATAAGATAAGTCTATAAGAGCGGGAAGCAATTTAAATATGTTCAGGGACCATTTTTATCTCGAGAATTAAGGATTATTTTAATGTTACATCATTGCCTTTTCTCTTTTACTTTCCTTTTTAGTTTTATTTTAGGATTCCCTATTTTTAATGTTCATACAGAGATTTCTTTAACTGAAATACCGAGTAGTTTCTTTGGTGTGAAAAGCTATAATATAGTACACAGGATCCTAATGAGATAATTAATAATGTGAAATAGGAAGTAAAGGGCTAAAGAGGTAGGGAAAGGGGGAAGGGTGGGGGAAATGTAATAAGGGAAAGGAAAAAATATGAAAAACTGAAAATATGGAAATAAAGTGTTTGTAAATGGGGAAGGGAGGAGGGGGTGAAGGGAGGGCAGGGACAAGGGGAAAAAATGAGAATCAAGACCTAGTATGTAAAGGTACATAATCTCAATGATGAATGTAATTGTATTGTATACCTAGATTGTACCAATAAACTCAATAAAAAGAAAAAAAAAAGACGAACATTTAAAACTTTGAACTTCTGAAGATTTATATTGTTTTGCGGAATCTCAGAAATTAAAGTGAAAATACTCCTTTCTGTTCTAAGTAAACCTAAAATTCAAATGTTAAGGTAGTAGTTTAAGACCCTTCGAATCTGACATATTTTAAGAACTACAGCTATTGTTTTCCTCTTCCTAGGTAGAGCAATGACAGACATAATACTATTGCCCTCTGACAGAGATCCTCCTAAATTGAAAGACTGTTTACCTGCTATTGGAGCATTAAAACATCTGAGAGAATGGCATTCAGCAAAAATTACCATAGCAGGAAATCACTATGAAACGTAAGCTTTGGTCACGATTATTGTTTTTGTTGTCCAGACACGCTACCCCATTCTCCCCCTCCATTCTTAATAGAATCAGCATTTGAAAGTTATTTTAAAGTGACAAAGTAAAAATTTATGTCATTCTGTGGTTGGAGACCTGTGTGTCGAGAAGAATGTGGTTTTTCTTATTTCAGATTCCCCAGAAGCTTTGAGTTTGTAGTAAATATTATTCATTGTGATTTAGAACTATTCTGAACATGGATTGTCAGCCTCACTGTGTGCTTATAAATGGCTCAGATTATTCAGGGAGCAGAGAGACGAGCACCACAGATAATGAGGTTATGCTGGATTTAAAATGTCACGTCTGCTTTTCATGTTGTGTGCCACTACAGAAATAAAACACACTGTTGTGTTTTGTGATATCTCAGTAGGAATCGATTGTACGTATCAGTTGTGGTTCTTAAGTGGTATTTAATTGGGTTTACTAACTCCGCGACTCTTCATCGGCCGAGCATTCACTAAGCTCTGGCTTCCCCCTGCGCACCAGTGGCGTGAGGGAGCTGGAGCGGAAGCCCGGGTTCTGCGCGACGGTGCCTGGACGCTCGTGGTCTGGTCGTCTGCGCTGAGCACTGTCGCAGAGCCCCACACGTCCTGTGACAAGGGGCGGCCGCTCAGTCTGTGGACGTCCGCCTCCTTTAAGCTGAGAGTTAGAGCCAGTCTGTCCCCACCCTCGGCCCTAAGGAGGACCACTGAGTTTGTGGGGTGGGCAGTAAGTCCACGTGTGGCCGCTGCGTGCATTCCCGCGACCTTAGTTACAAACAAAAACAGCGACCTGAATTTTGCCTTTTAGACTTGTAGTTAAACTGTAACCATTCCACATAAGTAAAATATAACTGTGTAATTTCACTTTTTTTTTAAAACAGAAGCTGTCAGAAGATTGCAGAATACCTTTCTGCTAATGTTGTCTCTTCCGAAGAGCTCAGAAATGTGATTGACTCAAAGGAATTATGGAGGGGAAAGATTCAGATATGGGAAAGGAAGGTAAATGGATTTCTCAGTTATCACAGCGTACAGAGCAGGCATCTCAGCTTTACCGCAGAGTTGAAGCAAATCGTCACGTAAATGTACGCTAGCCGAATGTTCTGCGCTAGCCGAATGTTCTGCGCTAGCACTGTGAGAATATTCTGAAGTAACACAATTGTGCGATATCTGTGCCGATGTAATGGTCCATTTGCTACACATTACTCGGAGCACTTCATATGTGACTAGTTCAACTGATGAACTGAATTTTTACTTTATTTGATTTTAATTAGATTCAGTTTAAATAGTCACTGGTTATATTTTAGGCAGTACAGCTCTAGAATGTAATACTTTTGGACAACTTGGCATTAGTTGCTTTATTACATGTGAGATTTACTGCAGAAAAATAGCTTAGGACAGTTTACTACCACTTGGCTTCCTACCAATTAGCTCTCTAATTTTGAATATTTTTAAACCTAGCTTAGACCCCAGTTTTCTCTGCCATAAAATGATCTCTTACTATGAGTGTGTTCAGTGGTTTTTGTGTACATTTTGAAAGAAGCATCTGTTACATATGCTTGTAGGTAGGCACAGTGTCTGAGCGCTCACTCAGGTGACCCGGGAACCTGCACTGGCCCTTGGATCCCTCCACGGTGGTTTTGCACAGCTCACTGTGCCTTTGTCCTCCGTCATTTCCTTCTGGCTTCCCAAACCCTCCAGGAGGAAGTGGGAGCCAGTGTGCTGGGTCTGTCTCATTGGTCTGCATATTGCTCACCTTAATCTGAGGAATGGTAAACTGCAGATTGAACTTTGTGGCAAGTTATTTTTGTTTTTTGTTTTCTCTTTGTATCTTTGCAGTACTGGGGATCGAATCGAGGACCATTTGCACTAAGCTACACCCCCAGACCATTTCATGTGCTTTATTTTTAGACAGGTTATCACTGAGTCACGGAGTTGCCCGGGCTGGGCTTGAACTTGAACTTGTGATCCTCCTGCCCAGGCCTCCCAGGGTGCTGGGAGCCACACCTGGCTGCCAAGTGGTTTTACTAGAAAAAAACCACACAGCCACGTGGAAGAGTGGAAAGTATGGTTAGCTAGCCTTGCTTGTGTGTACATTTTCTGAAACTGGGTGCTTATAAATAGGCAGATAATGACAGAGTTCTTTTTTATGTGATTCTTTTATTCCTTTTAAACAAATTAAATATCTAAAAATCCACAGCATGCATTAAAACTTGAACTCACTTTTTTAGTGGAGAATATCTCTGCACTAAGAGGCCTTATAGTGACTAAGGACGTAGATTCTGGAGTTCTGTGCCTGCATTTAAATCCAGCTCTTTCTTTGCTCCAGTTCTGAGTGACACGGCAGGGCAGGAATAGTTCCAGCTCATCAGTTTTTATGAGAATTAATTTATTCAGAGTACAAAGAACCAATCAGTAAGCGTTTAGCTGCTGTTGTTGCTGCCACTGTCACCGCTGTGGGCCCCTCTGCTGTGACCTCTGTGATTTATGTTCTCCACAGCAGCGTACGTGTGAGGCACCATACTAAGTATCCAGCGGTGAATAAGATAGTTTCTGTCTTTGCATAACTCAAAGACTGGCAGAAAGGCAGATATTGAACAAGTGCATGCAAAGGAAGGTGTTGGGTCCTGTGGTGGCATAGAATGAGCTCAGAGCGCTCTCGCTGGCTAATGAAGGGGCAAGGGTGCGCTTCATGAAAAATTGGCGCGTGCTTTGCAGTAGGCTGTGTGCCCTGGAGGAAGAGCTGCCCTGTGAGCTGAGGAATCACAAATAAGTTTACACATGAGTTTCCTCTCAACTTTTACATTGCAATAAAGAAGATGTTCTAACCTTTATGACTTCGTGCTGCCTGAAACTGTGTTCTCTTGGATTCATTTCAGTTTGGATTTCAAGTTAGTTTTCCTGAATTTTGTTTAAAGGGAGTCACACCTAAGAATTTTAGTGCGCCTACTCTAAGTACTTGCTTTCTTGCCAAAAAGATAATACCATCAAAGGATAAGGATATTTTGCCAAAGGTAATTATATGTCTAACTTCTTTATTTTGCATTTGTGAATATTGTTGTTACTATAAAATGTTTGAGTCTTGGATCCTGAGGTGCACTGAAGTATGTTCACATGCATAATTCCTCTACTTCTGATACTAATTAAGTGCCTGAGTTATTCTGTTATCAGGGTTAAATGCTGAAATTTCGTCTTTTGACACAGTGATCTGAACTTTGACTCTGTAGAGGGCTGAAATGACCTTGGTTTTGGATTTTACATGTGACGCGTGTAAGACACAGTCTGGAGGGAGTACGATGGAGCGGAAAGAGGATGAGTTTCTGTGGTAGCAAGACCTAGGTTTGAAACTTGACCCTGTCACCTTTTATGTACTGGATGCAACCAATGCATTTGTGCCGTGGGACCAGTGATAACACACTTCTCTTACAAAGCTACTGTGCAGAACAAGTGAGGGTAGGAGAAGAGCATCTGACACAGGGCCTGGCACATGCTTAACTTGTAGTGTGAGAAATGTTGACTCTCATATCGGATCTTCTGTATACTGGTTTCTTCTGTATACTGATTATAAATATAATTGTTAGAAAAGGTTGTAGCAGCCTCTCTTTAGAGCTGGAAAATAAATAAAAAAGGGATTTATACAGAAGCACTGTAGAAATCCACTCTAAGAGACCTGACATAAGAATTTGCACGACATAGTGGTGTTGAAGTTACAAGGATGTGAATTGACAGTTAATATTTTCTGATTGAATGCTGGTACAAAAGCATAATTTCTAATGAGAACTCATTTCCCAATATTGTTTAGCATTGCTTACTTGAAATAGCTTACTATGGCTATCTTTCACAGGAATTTTGAATTCTTTTTTTTATTAATTTTATTGATACATGTTAGATATACAATATAATGACATTCATCATTGGAAATTTGTACCTTTACATAACCTACCTTGGTTCTTTTCCCCACCCTATTCCCCTGCTTAAATTCTTAAGATTAAAATCATAAAATTAACTTTTCTTCTTGGGTTGTAAAACATTCAAGCGTGATAATGTTTCTGATTTTTTGATACTATTGAGGGTAATCTTAGTTACAGCCTCTTTGAGAAATGGTAGTCTACCCTCCATATATATGACATGTTGTGTGCCTGTGTGTATGTTCTGTGTACCACACAATGCAAGGAATCAAATTATCTGTCCCACTCCACCCCATACCGGGGATCGAACTCGGGACCTTGCGCTTGCAAGGCAGGCAGCGGAACCACTGAGCTAAATCCCCAGCCCCAAATTATCTGCTTTCTGCAGATATAAATCTATTGTTTTTTTTCCTTTGCTCTTCTTGTAAGGCACTTTACCTCCAACTAGTGCAATAAGTCTCCTTTACTTGCCCAGTCTGATTTAGTCTAAAGCTCTCTCAGAGAAATACTGAACATTTGTTTTCTGAGTGACACTTTCTCTGTTAATTAGCACTTGTTGGCTGTACTCTTCTACTTTCTTCAGTCTTTTCTCCAGTTTTTTTTCCTTTAAATCTCAGTCAATCACTCAGCTCAAGCTCATGCTGCTATATCTTTTTTTCCTCTTTTCCAGTCCTAAATTTCGGGCTACATGCAGAGGTAATTTGCTGACTTGTTTCTTCAGCACTGTAGCCTCTTGGATCACCTGTCTTGTCTTGTTAAAGAGAAAAAGTTGAGTACTCTTATTCACTGTTGCTCGCCTCTTTCTGTGCTTATTTTCTCCTATTACAGCTCTTTCTGATTACTAAAAAATCTCTGTGTCTGTCAACTCTGAAAGACAGAATTGAAGTGGAAGAAATTCTTGCCTATTATGGGAGGATTACATGCTGGCTTGCAGAATGGGTGGAGTTGCATTCTAAGAACCATTTTAAAGTTTTAAACTCATAATCACTAAGTTGTTTGCTTTCATTTCATGTGAAGTGTTCACAGTTATAAATTCTTTTCCAGGTTTTCCATTATTATGGCCCTGCTCTACAGTTTGTGCAGATGATAAAATTATCAGATCTACCTTCTTGCTACGTGTCAGACATCGAATTCGAGTTGTATCCTTCCCTTTCTGTGTCACGTTAGATTTTATTTCCTGTGTCAGGTAGCGTGTTCTGGCATTGGCAGATCAACGATCATGTGAGGTATACACGTATCCTTGTGTGTGTTCAGGTTTTAATGCGAATGCACAAGTGGGACACCTCGTTGTTAAAATTGCTGGGGATGTAAGTCGTAGCTTTTTCCATATCCTGGATCTTCTGCTTTTCCCATCAGAGATCGTTCTCCCTAGGAAAGCACCTTTCATTTCATTCTGTACTTACCGAGTATTTGCTGTGGCAGGGTTGTGGGAGTAAGGAAGTGTTGGGGCCTCGTGTTGGTACAGTTACAGTGCTCTCTGATGGCAGAGTCTAGATCTGCCCTCGCCCTTGTGCAGTGTCCTCTGGGCTCCCTTCTTACCCTGTCAGACATCCCTGTGCACACAGCTTAGGTGTGTTTGTGACCCTCACTGGCCTTTCATTTTGTGTGTTCTCCAGGACTTCTGTGTCTTTCTCATTATGTTTCTTTGGAGGAAGTCTGTGAATGCAGAACAGGGTAGCACAGTAGGTGCTCAGTGGGCGGCACAGAATGGACAGCCTTTTATTACATCAGCCCAATCCAAATGTTCATTATTTTCTTCTTTTGGATCCTTTTCAGTAGAAGAGATGGCATTTATGAAGGTTTCTGTGAACCTCACCCACCTGAAAACTGTTTGTCTGGTATCACTTAAAAATTGTTTTTGTTTTTTGTCTTTGGTCAGGAGATGGTTGGTTTGGGGGGATGTTGCTAGGAGACTAGGCAGAGAGCCTTTTTAGATTGGTCAAACCCTGAAAGACCTGTTCCATGATGAGGAGTTAACTTGTGTGTTAAAGATGGTGAGGAACCGGGGCAGGACCATACGACCTACTGAAAAGCAGATTTTAAATGATGCGGGTAAGATTTTGTCGGCTTGCAGAGCTTGAACTAAAGCAGTGGCGTTTGGAATGGAGGTCCAGGAAGTGGTAGGGATGTAGAACCCACAGGCACTGTGACGTGCAGGCAACATGACAAGGCTGCCTGAGTGTAGGTGAATCCCTGTGCCCTGACTGAGACAGGGTAGGACAGGGCAGGTTTCAGAGGAAGAGGTCAAGCTCAGGGCAAGGGTAGTAGTTTGCAGAGTAATACACAATGGGCAGTTTTAAATTTGTTATCCAGTCTGCATCCCTGATTAGTACTGTGCAGCCACACGCTCCCAGAGGTAGAATTGTGGGAGGTCCTTCCCATTGTATCCTATTAGCAGTCCTGGGTTTCTCTCACTTTATCTGTTAGCAGCGTTCAGGTGGAAGATAGGAGCCATTGGATGTGTTTGTCTCATATTGGATATTTGCTTTAGACCAGGGGTTTTCATACTTTCCTGGAAGCTTGGAGAACAATCTGGGCGATAGAGGGGAAACTGAGTCTAGTGGGCGTGGGTCTAGTCCCGCCCACCTTAGCAGAGCAGCACCTTTTCCCCCCCTCCAAACGCGGGCTTATGGTTGGGTCAACCTCACTGCAGAAAGCTCTGCATCAAAGAATCGTGGAGAGAGCTGTTTTCATGGTTCCAGCCCACATTTTAAATGGTTTTCAATTAACATTCAGTATACTTGCCATTGCCCCAGTTTCAAGAAAGTTCTACGCCTTGCAAAACAAAACAAAATAAAATCAGTACTACCTCAAGCACTGTATTTATGCTTCTAAAATAGGCAGAGACTTCCTGGTTTTGCTACCTCTTTCAAGGTAGAGAAGAGGGGAAAACTTGGAATTTGTGGGAAAAAAAATGATGCATATACTCCTGAAATGTTCTGTATTCTCCTGCTGTCCATAGGGTTAATATACAAGCACTAGTTTCCTAATGTATCTTTTAATATATATGTGTGCTATCACATATATCTACAAATATTCAGCATTTATTTTTTTGTATCAGGGATTGAACTCGGGACCTTGCACTTGCGATGCAGGTAACAGAACCACTGAGCTAAATCCCCAGCCCCAACATATTCTAAACTCTTAAGAAAATACATGTTAAGAGCCAGGTGTGGTGGCACATGCCTATGATCCCAGCACTGAGGAGGCTGGGGCAGGAGAATTGGCAAATTCGAGGCCAGGGTGGAACATAGTGAGTTAAAGACCAGCCTATACTCCATAGTGAGACTGTATTTGAGAAATCCAAAAACAAAAGAAAATGTATCTAAGAAATTTGCAGAAACACACCTAAGAACAGAACATTTCATATAAAGAGAAATTTTTTGACTGACTAGAAATGAAATACTAACTCTTGCATTTTATATGCAAAAGTTTTACAAATATCTTATTGTGGTAGTTTATAGTAGTGATAATCAGAAAAATAATTTTTAGGGAAACAAGTAATTGTTAATTCCTGAGTTGTTTTTCATTAAATGAATTTAGTCAACTTGTGGAAAATTGAGAAAATCAAGCTCAGGGAGTAGATGATTTCCTGTTTCCTCTACGGTGGTTTCTTTAATTCCTTAGTACAGAGGGCTAACAGAAAACAGCAGCAGGCAGAGCTCCACAGTGCTGCTGGAGCAGATTTCTTCTCTGTGTGGCAAGGTAAGGCTTTGTTGGAGTGACATTTTTGTATTTAATATTGAAAAATGTGTAAGAAAATGAATATAGTGCATTAATCTGTTTTTGTTTGATAAGTTTGATTCTTTAATGTCATATAATTTGACTTTGGACTAATTCTGGGCTTTTTGCAATAAAGTGCTTTGCAGACAAATTGACTTTGATTTTAGAACGTTCTCAGAAATAAGTTGTATAACTGGTAAGGGCTTTAAAATTTTAGAACACTGTGGTGGTTAATCTTGGTGATTAACTTGATTAGTTTGAAAAGCTGTAGAAAATTACTGATGTACACTTCTAGATGTTTGGGGTGGGTCCTGCAGGCATGACCTCGGGATCATGGTCCCTGACCTTCCCGGCTGGCTTTTCCTCTACTTCCTGGCTTCTGTGAGGTGAGCAGCTTTCCTCCACCGCACCTTTCCACCATGGTGGTTCTGCCTTGGGGCCAGGTTACCATGGACTGCAACCGTAGAAGCCATAAGCCCACATCAGCCTCTCCTCCTTTCATTTGCAGGTGTCAGGTATATTTGTTCGACCTATGAAATGTTTACTAGTGCAAACACATTATTTTTAAGCTGTTCTTTCAATTCTGTGGGAAGGCATTCATATGTTTGCGTTATCATTTCACAATAGAACAGAGAAAAACAAAATGTTTCTAAAGTTTTGCTGAATTATTTGTAAGTTTACAATTTTTCCTCATAAGTATAATTATGCTTAGAAGATTTGTAGCTATTTTAATAATTTTTGTATTTATAATGATATAAAATTGATATATTTTTACTTTTCTAAACTAGAATTCTAGGTGGAATTGTGTATCCAAAGTCAAATAGAGTTTTTAGTAAGAAAAATAAATGCATTCTTTCTGGTTATTTAACTATTGTGTTTCTGTGAAAATAATTTTAATGCACTCTATTGACCATATTTATATAACATTTTCTTATTATTTTTACAACAAATAGACGACTAGCAAACACTCCTGAGAGGAGAAAATGATTAATATAGTTGTAGCAGCTTCATTCAACATGCAAAAATCAAATCTCAGTTATAATTCCAATGGAAGGTTGATATAATAAAGGAAGAACAGTTTTGGCCTTAAGATGCTTGATTCTATGATAATTTAAAATTTTGGTTTCAAGCCTTGTTTTCTCATAAGTTTAATAACATTTTTTTTTTTTTTCAGTACCGGGGATTGAACTCAGGTCCTTGTGCTTGCAAGGCAGGCCACCGAACTGCTGAGCTAAATCCCCGGCCCTCAAAGTACTTATTTGATAAATTGGCCCTTGACTTAATATTTGTAGTAAAAATCAAGATAAATAACTATAAATATTTAATAACAAAGTATAACATGTTCATTAATTTATCTAGTTATTGGTGATGGTCAACAGTAATTCTAGAAGAAAAATTGAAAAAACATTTTTTTTTGTACCAGGGATCTAGCCTGGTCTATTTGGTCTGTTTTCAGTTTGCTGTGTTAGATTGTGGTTTTTATTTCTTCTCAGACCACGACTGTAAATTGTTAGAACACACTCTGTCAGTAAGCAATACATAAATGGGGTCATGTAAGTTTCTTAATGCAGCAAAAGAGATAATATTTACAGAAATATTATGTAAATTAGAGAATAAATCTCTAAATTTGAAGCAGTTTGTTTTTCTTTTATATTGGGTTACAATTTATCTTTCACATTTTTGAAAAAAATTTAGTTTTGAACTGCATGCTTATTTCTTAGAATAATTCCTTTGCTTTGTAACTCGGTTTTCTCTCTTTTTTGACTTCCGGCTGTGTGGCAGTGACTTGTTTTGCTTGCTTAGCGGCTGAGGCAGTCGGGTGGAGAAGGCCCCTCCTTGAACAAGCTCCCGGGAGCTTAAGCTCTAGTGATGTGACCCTCAGCAAGTGTTTGAGCTTTGAGTAGTTTGCTTTCTTTCTGTTCCCCAGAGAGACAGTAAAGCTCTCTTCTCAGATTAGGAAAAGATGAGGTAGGGCTGTAAGGAGTGGGATGTCCACTTCTCCTCTGGTGTCTGCACATCCACATACTTCAGTGAGGGATTTGCAGAACTGTTAAAATGATTTTCATGGTGACTTCCTGTTAGGCAGGAGCCACTGAAATGATTGAATCTCAGGTTTGAAGATGCTGTTGGGCCTTTCAATTCTGGAGACAGAACGATAGCCTCCGGCCTGCACGGGTTGCCTGGTGATTAGTGTGAGGGTGAGAACGAGTGATCAGAATCTAAACTGAGCTGTGCCAGAAACGCAGATGCCTTCATGTGGGCTGCCTTTGACGCGTCTGAAATAGGGAGCGAGCGGTAGCTGGGACCCGATGGGGTGCATTCCCATTACCACCTTGTCAGACGTGTGGATCATGCATTGTGGGCTCTGAAGCCTTACAAGGAGGAAGAAGGATTTCATGTTTAGAAAATTAGGTGTATCTGTTGCTGAATTTTTTAAATTTTTATTTGCTAATACTTGACTATGTAAAATATAGTTTCCTTTGAAAAGGCTATAGGCTTTACTTTTGCCTTTATTTTCTTTCTAAAATACTGATTTTTATACCTTAATTATGAATGCATAGCAAATATAATAAATAACAGCTAGCACATTAAAGTCTAATTGAGTATCGCATATCTCATATAACTAACTACTCTATCTACATGGAACAATTATGCAAAAGTAATTTTGCATTAGGTTTAAGATCTTAGGCAAAGTTTTTTTTTAATTAATGTTTTTATTGGGATATGCTGATTGATGTAGCTATAGTTCTAAAATAGGCAAAATACAGTTTTCATGATTATAATTTATTTCATTTAGTCTTTAATTAAACTGCGAATTTACCTAAATATATTATAGTGATTTTTTTGAGCAAATATTTAATAAACATCTGTGTACCCAGCTCTGGGAGTAAAAAGATAAATAAGCTGATTTTGCTCATAAATCAGTCATTAGCTGCTCTGTTTTCTAGAATATAATTTATTATCTTCTCTGCAGTTTTACCTAATAGCATTAAATCTCTGGGTTCTAGGAACAAAAATTCCTATTTTGACTTTAGATGTATTATAATTTTGAAGCTGGAACAATGATCCGTCCATCAATGGTCCTAAAATTATGGTTGAATAAGACAAATTTGTTGTTAGAACTCTCAGCTTCTCATTATTTTATAGATATACAAAGAAATTAACCCCCAACCTGAACACAAAGTAAATAGGTTTTTTTGGAGATGTGTACTTCAGTGGGGAAGGAAGACAGTAGCTTTGAATACCTTTCTGTGTTTGCCTTATTTTTCCTGCCGAGGGTGGGGCAGTTTTTAGTCTTACAGTGGTGGTGTTGAGCGAGGGCAGTGAGTGGGGAGTTGCCATGTGCCCCATCTAACAGTGAGTTTCAGTCCGCAGTCAGTAAGACACACGCTGTTTTGCAGGTTGGTGCTCTTTTTGCATTGCCATGCACTGTTAGCAACATATTCGTCCCACCTCCCACCCAGCTCAGCTCAAGAAAATGGAAGGAATACATAGCCAAAAAGCCGAAGACGGTCAGTGGTGAGTAGTAAATATTTGCATTGTGTTAATGCTGTGAGAGAGAGATGGATTTGTCAATCCTGAAATGGGATAGTCTGTCTTTCTGCCTGCCTGCCTGCCTGTCTTTCTTTCTTTTCTTTTCTTTTCTTTTCGTTCTTTTCTTTTTTGTTGAGGTGCCAGGGATTGAACCAGGTCCTCTCATATGCTAGACAAGTGCTTCACCTTTCACTGCACTCCTAGCACACGATGACATTTCTTCATTGCTCAATAGTATTTAACTATCTCTAGCCACATTCTTTAAACGTATCAGTGACCTCACAGCAGTACATTTAGTTAGTTAGAAAGCTGATATATTGAACAGTGATTTCTCAGAGACATTTGAGGAAACAGATATATGAAAATAAAGTAGGTTCCTTGTTACGTGGTGTATTTAAAAAATGAGCCTGTTTACACTTTTCTGAAGAAATTAGAACATATTTAACTATGCTATGCAGTGTTATACGTACTTCAAAAATACTGAGTTGTTTAATTTTCATAATAACCCTATAGATTCATTTTTATTCCCATTATACTGATGAGGAAATAGGGGCCTAGAAAATTTAAAGAGCTGTCCATTGACAACACCTTGGTATAAATCCTGGTTCTGCAGTTAATAGTCTGTCATTTCTCTTAAAATTTGAACCTTGTAAGTGGTATTCAAAATTAAACATTTGTTTAAATTTCTTTGAACTTACAGTTAGTTTTTATGACCCAAGCTGTGATGGGACTAGACTGCAATTGAAACAGGTCTACCAAGACTTCTATGGAAACACTCCTCAGAGGCCTAGTATTCTGAGGAAAAGAATTTTAAAATCAGCAACTTAGACAATTTTATATAGGCAATAGGTGAGATGCTGGATTCCATTTTATCAAATGTTGAATTATAGCTTCACGTAAGATATCTATTTGGAAAGTTAAGTCTAAAGTTTAGAATTTAGATCCAGATTGCTGGAGAACAGTCATAGCTAGAGATTTAGAATTTGCATTTAGCATCAGTTTTCTTATCTGTTGTTTAACAAACAAATGTAGTGGCTTGAAAGAGCACACTGTATTTGTTCATGGTTCTGCAGTTAGGACGGAGCTCAGCTGGTTGGTTCTTCTGCTGGTTGGTTTCACTGGTGGTCACTGATGTGACTGCATTGACGTCATAGATTGGAGGCTGAGTTCAGGATGCAGAGACGGCTGACTCTCTCTCGAGTCTCCAAGCCATTTTCTTGCCACATGGTCTCTTCACATGTCTCCAGCAGGCTGTTTGGGATTTTTACTGGTGCTCAGGACAAACAAAAATTGAAGCTGCCAAGATTTCTGAAGACTTAGTCCTGGAACTAGCCTAGTCTCACTTTTGCTACATTACTCTTTAAAGTTAGGGTCAAGAATTGTCCAGATTCACTGAGGAACCTTCGCAGTGTTATACTTGGAAGCTACCATTGTGAAGACACCACTGGTGCACACAGGTGTTATAGGAATGGTTAAAAAAAGAAAAAAGAGCAACCACTCAGACAACATATCTAAAGAAGAGAGCCAAGAATAGGGTCTTTAGAAATACCTGCATTTAGATGGAAATGGAGAAAGTTTAAAAAATATATTTGTAAATGGTTGTTTGAAGACCCTGGAAAGTTATAATCATTGACATCAGCATCACAATTCCATTTATCACAGTAATAGGATACGGTGTGAACTTATGGGAGGTAAAGGAGAGTCACATGGGTCCTTACACTTGAGGTAGATTCATGGTTCTTTCTTTCTTTCTTTATTTATTTTGGTTTTTTGAGACAGGGTCTCACTATGTAGTTGAGACTGACCTGGAACTCACTGTGTAGCCCAGGCTGGTTTTGAATTCACAGAAATCCTCCTGCCTCAGCCTCCTGAGTGCTGGGATTACAGGCATTTGCCACCACGCCTGGCTCAAGGTACTTTTTTTAATGAAATGTTTATTGAAGTGAGGAGTATATTTTGGAAAGTAATTATAATTCTGATTAGCTGAAAGGTAAAGAAAAAGGCACAATGAATAAATATGCATCTAAAATCTGGTGATTTTAGAAAATGCTACACAAAATCAGAAATAGATTTAGTGAGAAGCAATATGGTCAGTTTCACTTACACTACATAAAGTCATGGGATAATATACGTTTCTCAACATTGCGTATGTCCAGGTCTGATAATAATTAAAATATCTCCTGAATAAAGTGAGTTTTATTGGATAGCCTATTTGTTATTTATTTTTCTTATTGTGACTTTCTACTTCAAGTGGCTATTATGTTGCTGGTTCTAATTTTAAGGTTATTTATTGATTAATAGTTTACTCAGTTTTTTTGCATGATTTTTATTGTAACTTTAAGAAAATATCATGTGGCTTGATTTCAGTTTTTTAAATTATTGCCTCTTGAAATTTAAGGATTACTAGTGGTAACTTCTGAATAATAATGACATAGATCACATGATAATCTTTGAAACCAAATTGTTGATTACTGATTAGTCTGGGTCATTAAGGGCTGATTAAACGATGTGTTATGGTATTTTTTTTTAAAGCTTAAAAGTGGCGACAAAATCAAAGTGGAGAGTTGATTATTAAGTTCTGTTCTACCTGTAACCCTTCCCGAAGGGGAAACTTATTACTTAGCCACTGACAGAACTCCTTATGTACAAATAGGGAAGCCGAGTATTAGTGTAAACATTTCAATAAACTTTGCGTCCAGAACACTGCACCTCCCCATGTTGTACCCTCTGGCATCTTTCCCTATCCCAGATAGTACAGGAACACTCAGATCCCCCGAGCCAGAGCTCTGTTCCTCCATATTCTGCTGAATTATACCCAGCTGTTCCCAGACGTGAGCCAGGTCTCCAAACTACATTGCATACTGTCCTGCAGCCATTTCCTATGTTACCGCTTTGTCACTTGTTATTCATTCACTCATATCTTTCATTCACTTATTTGAATGTGGAACAGATACTGTGTATCAGGTGTGCAACTATAATCTGGAGGTCGGTGCTCTGGGAGATAGACTTTATATTCCTCTCCATGGAATTTACACTGTTTAGTAGCAAAAGAATGCTTTCTTAAACATGCTGTTCAGTGAAACACTCAGAAATTATTGATATAGAAAAATGCAAAAGCTATATGAACTAAAGAAATTGTCTAACCCCTATTTTATTTCTAAGGAAAGTGAGCTAAATCCCCGGCTTTTTGTTTGTTTGTTTGTTTGTTTTATTTTGAGGAAAGAGTTCTTTATATAAAATCTGTATTGAAAGGCCAAGTGTATAATGAAAAGTGCCTGGCTCTTCACGGAAACATTTTATGAAATTGTCCAAAAAAAATGAGACCTCATCGTCAGAGTCCAAGTCATAGGGAGGTAACCACAGCACGATCTACCAGTGTTGGCATCGCCGGCATTGCTTCATTATCTTTCATTCTCAGCACAATACTGAAAATTAAATTTCTAAAACTCCTTTTATTACAAGTGACAAAACTTAGGTGCAGAAGTATCACCAAGCTTCTCTAATGTCACAGGGCAGAAGCAGGCCCTCCCAACAATTTCGCACGCGCCCAATCCCAGGCGCCATCTTTTGTTAGGTCATGTAGCGCTTCTGTTGAAAAGAATTTGAAGAACTTGATCTTTTCTGATCTATGCCTTGACATTTATTCTTATAGCAAGTTAATGCTGTCTGATAATTTTATAATTCTGGGTGCCTGGCAGCTCTACAACCTTGAGTTTGTTGTCGCGTCTTTTGTGAAAAACAGAATTTCTTGTGAAGGAAAAACTTTTAAAGGTTCTCTGAGAAAAATCATGTCTTTTTCTGACAGAAAAGTCCAGTTACAGTGTTTGTAAAGGGACTGCAGTGATAAGGACTGAGGCGGTGTCCTGAAATGATGAAGCGTGTGCTCTGTTAGTACTCAAATTGGCCTGTGAATGTGTTTCAGAATAGTTGGCCAAACTGCAAAGGTCAAAAGGATACTGTGTGGATGATCTATAAATAATCTCCATCTTGAAAACCAGTGCACTCTGGCAAAGATTTTGAAAATGGGTTTTCATGTCAGAGACAAAGTATTCTTTCAGCCAGGAACCTTCTTCGGGACAGGCCCTGTGTATATACTAAGTCAAGAAATGAGTCTCAGTAAATTTAAAAGGATAGAAAAAAGAAATAATGCACAGTATGCTCTCCGGTTACAGTAAAGTTAATTTAGGAATCAACAGTGAAAGCCTGAGAATCCCCTCAAGTGTTTGGAAACGAACACACTTCTGAATAACCTATAGGTCAAAGAAAAGAAAAAAGGAAATTAGAAAATAGTTTTCACTGAACAAAAAATAAAAACAAAACGTCAAACGTATGGAAAAGTGCCAAGAAGTATTAAGGAGGCCTTACATGCTTATTGTAGATTGGAAAAAAAGATTAAAATTGGTAATCTAATCATCAACCTCAAGAAACAAAAAGATCTAATCCAAGTGACTAGAAATAAGGAAACCGACCAGCTGGCACTGAACAAGTACTGCGAAGCAGAGCCCCCACAGCTGTCCAGACAGGCTGTGGGCCTAGGGCCCCACACAGACCTGTGGCGCGAAAAGCGGTGAGGACGCCCCTAGGAAGAGTGGACTCCTGGCGCCGAGCAGGAAGAATCGGAACCCCACAGAAGGGCTCGCACTTATGTACGCACACGCGTAGATTTACAGTTTTTTAGACTATATATGTAGACTTCTGTCCATAAACATGAGCTCAAAATATATCCAAATTCAACAACTGCAACTGTAAAACTTCTATAACAGATGCCAAAACAATTCACGGAGTGAAAAAAAAAATCTAGAAATTAGAATCTGCCAAATATTATCTACTTTTTGAAAAACACTGCTAAAAAATTTAAAAACAAGCTATTCATTGAGAAAAGTATTTCCAATCATATCTGACAAAAGACACATACATGAAATAATTCTTACCATCCAATAATAAAACGCTGATTAGTAGTTGGAGTGTAATTCTAAGGGTTTGGG